AAAATAGGCGCCAACATGATGTCTAGCCATATATTTTATTGGATTTTGTTAATACGTGAACACATCCACATGCATGCCATACGTATGTCTATTAAACTCAATTTTTTTCCCGCTCTCTTCTAATAACACGAAGAACAAATCGTCCGCGTTGTGATTACCCCGATTTGTTGTTGTTTTTTTTTTCTTTATGATTTTGTCGATGTATACGTTTCTGTTTAGGTTAAAATAACACCGTTAAAAAAAACCAATTCCAATTAATCAAGATTTCGGCTTAAAAGTGCTATTGAGCCCCCACACTTTTCCACTCCAAAGTATGCTCAAGTGTATCATTGACCGATGTCGATTTATCTAATCCAGTCATTATTGCATACTTCAAACTCAAAGTTTAGAAAAAAAAAACATCGGCCCATCAACAAAATCCACATGATCTCCATCTTTTCTCGGTGTGTGTATAATAATGCCTTCGGGACATATATACCATCTAATTTTTCAACGATTCATTTTACATCGAAACGAAAAAAAAAAAACAAACAAAAATGTTCACATTGTGCGTGCATGCATTTGTTTGAATGTGGATTGATTTGATGTTCATTGGAACGCCATTAAATTCAACAAAAAGAAAAAATGAAATAAGAAAGGAGAGAGAAAGAGAAAAAAAGGAGCAGCTATTAGAATTGATTTTCGTGTGCGTAATGTGCTCGATATGCGCTTGTACATTGTGGCCACCCATGCAGCCTACTTATATTTAAACGGCAACACACTGCACATCGGTGTGTTCTTCCTCTTTCATTTTGTACAGATCGAGCGGGATTGTGAGCGCGAGTCGCGATGAAAACTACAACAACGTACATTATATAAATTGTAACATTTTCTCGGTATGTATGCCGTGCGCGGAGTGCGAGTGTGCTTTGGCATTCTTTAACATTCATTTGGATCCAATACAAAATGATGTGCGTGTGTCGTTACTGTTTGCATCGTCACAAAAAAAAGAACAACTACGAAAGAAGGTTCTAATGTCATGTGTTGTCTTTCTCTCAAACCGAACCGTTCGTACAATATTATTTTGAGAGAGATAGAGAGAGCGCGAAAAACGAATCTATATCTTCAATCTTCAACAACTGCAAAAAAAAAAGAACATTTTTATTTATAAATTTAAATACACCAGCGGACACTTTTTATGTTTTATTTTTGTTTTTGTTTGGTGTGTTGTTTTTTTCTTCTTCTTGTAGTTGTTCAGTTGTTTTCCTCAAGATTTATTTGCAAAACGAAAGATGCTCAAACTCGCCTCAAAAGTTCATGCGTACTCTTGTACGAATTGTATTTAAAAATAATACGCGACTTCTGTGTATGTATTCGTGCGTGCGGCTTTTTTTTCCTTCTCTTCTTACTTTATTATATGTAATTAATGATTGATGAAATACAAAATATAAGTACATCATGCTGGCGACAAAATTCAAGTGTTTATTTTGTGGCTTTTTTTCTGCTTTCAATTTGTTATTTATTTCATTTCATTTTATTTTTAAATGAACCGATGGCAGATTTAATGGTTTCTTTGACTTGTGTATGGTATGAAATGAATTTTCGCATGCTACTCAGATACATACAGAATGCACGCATCGATTGAGTTGTCGTTTTTTTCTGTATGTATGTATGTTTTAGGCGCCGTATATGCTATACTACACCTATGCATGTCTCTGGTACCACCTGATAAGCACGATTAAACGAGCCAACCAAACAAAATAATATTGAACGCTCACTATCTTTGCAATTGAGTGAATTATGACAGTTAATTGTCATTTCGACGACGTTTTATTTCTTTTGTAATTAGATTTAAACGATTAATCCAAGTGTTGTGCGATTCGGTCGCACTTCCGCTATGCCAACGATCGCATGATAAATCAATTGTTGTTTTATTCTTCAAAAGCCGAATGTCAAATTTGGTTACAGCTCAATTTGCATTAGATGAAAAAAAGGAGTTGTCAGTCGGGCTGCTAATGGGACGTGATATCACATATTAAGTGAACAAAACGTTGGCAAATAAAACGAACTTGGGTGACGACTTTGATCTTGCCATCATGCCTCTGAATATATTTACAGACGACACTCAATTACTAATAGTGGATTTCCGATCTCGCGGATTGTTTTTTTTTTCTTGGCATAAGCCGTAGCCACTCAAAAATGCTGATTGCACATCCTAATCGATACTCATTTTGATGAAACTATTTAAATGTGCATTTTTTTGTTATTTATCGAGGAAAATGCATTTCACTAGCCATAGACGAGTATCTCTCTCACGACGAAGTAGTAATAACAGGAACATTAACACGATCTGAAACTATTTGCATAGATATATTTATCATATCCATTAATGTGACTGCAAACGAAAAACTCTCTAATAAAAATATAAAAAAATATGTGTGAAATAATCGTAAAATGATCAGAGGAAATTAAAAAAACAAGACACAACAGAGAGGGAGATCGAAAGAATGAGTGAGATAGAGATAGATAGAAATGAGCAAAATGTAGAGAAGCAAAAAATGAAGAGAGAGAGAGAGAGGAGAGAAGAAAAAAAAATCGCACATAGCGCGAGGATGACAAAAAGAATAAACACCATACTGGCGCCGTCATTTTCAAGGCAAAAATATTTCGGACTGTTGTTGTAATGTGCGCGCAAACACACATTTCACATTTAATGCGAACGGTTTAGTTGGTGTGTAGAAAACCGTTCACGAACTGAATATATATATATAAAGCAAACAAACGAGGTGAGCGTGCGCGTTTGCGCTCGCTTACGATTCGATCACCTCGAAAATATTGGCGAAAACGAAGGAAAAAAAATATATAGCTGCATGCACGTAGCCGCAGGCCCGGCGCGCACACATTTCCCTCAACCGATCGAAAATTAAAATTCTGGCTTCGTATTCGTCGATTCAATAATAATCGATCACATTTTATTTATTTTTGTGGGTTTTTTTGCGCTCTCTCTCTCTCTCTCTCGTCGTCATTCTGATTTTTAATGTTTCAGACATTGACGAAAAGCGCACGTAATAAACTGTAAAATCAAATGAATTACTTTAATCACCCCCCAACCCATACCACCCGCAAAAAAAGAGTCGAATTGAAAAACGATGAGAAGAAGAACATCGAATAAATACAAAAAAAGAAAACAGTTCAAGTTCATGTTATTTTTGACAAGTATACGATCACCAAGAAGCTTTAGACAGATATGATAGAATTTTCCTTTTGACTTTTCGTTCGGCGCCACCTAAAATTTATTTTAGGTAATTTGGTTGGATATTTTCATTCGTTTAAGATATTTTAAAACCGGCCCCGAGAACATTCTTTCTACTACAATGATGTATTTACCGTCGTCATTTTCACTACATCGAATAAACAAGTGAACGGATAGCAAATTCGGCTGCTTTTGTTGCTCGACGAAACGAGAGAAGAAAAAAAAATCAACCACAGCGGAGAGGGAGACAGAGAAAGCGCGGAATTGAAGCGACAAAGCGAACACCAATTCCCATTAAAATGTCTTATTTGAAATATGAGATATTGGACATTAATAAACTTAACGTTGTTGTTTTTTTTCTATTCAGTTTCATATGAGAAGTGCGAAAAGTCAATCAAGTGCATTTTTCATTAAATTGCTTTCGAATTATTTTGTACTGTTGTGCAAAAGGATACACACAAAAACCGATTCAATCGATTTTCAAACTCTTGCGATCGCAAAATTCATGATAATTTTTATCATCGCATGTGAAGCTTTTTTAAATGAACCGATCACTCTCACAACAATAAGATTCACAAGGTATAGATCTCAATGGATCTTTCCAATTGAAGAGCATCTTCATTCCAAAGAATGAATAATTGATACTTTCTGATCGAATTTATAATATTAAAAAAAAATAGTCTACGAATGGCGAGTGAGCCAAAGATACACATATATTGGTGCGTAGAACTCAAACACATTGCAAGGAATCGAATCTCTATCGAATGAAGAACATATAGAAATGGCACATCGCACAAGCGTACGTATCGAAAAGAAAGAGAGAGAGAGAGAGAGAGATAGAAAATATTGGTATGAATGATGTAAGTGGTGAGCTGTTGCGTGCTTATTTATTAGTATAAGTGTGTATGGGAGCAATGTTGCTTTCGACACAAATATATATATTTCCTCTTTCTTTCGCTCCTTCCTTTTTGTCATCGTTCGGCGGGCGCGCGTTCAATGCGAAGATGGGCCTCTCGCTCGGGTTTTTCGTCTCGCTTGTTCGTTGTATACATATATTTATTTATTATTCTTGTTGATATTATTATTTGTGTGAATCACATGCAATGGTGTGTTTGCATATGACAGGCGCCAAACAATCGTTTCGTCTAGTCGCATCGGGTTGCCGTTGTTTTATTTTATTTATTTCGTACCCATGCTGTTTGTCTCTCTTTTTCACCCATTGAGATATGGTATTCTTTTGTGCTGTTTTCAAGGCAATTTTTATTGAATTCACATGCGATTAGTAAGAACATAATGGATTTTTAGTATGATGATGTTGTTATCTGCGCCGCATTTCATTCCCTCTTTCAATTTTTTTTTCTTTCTTCGTTTAAATGATTTTAGCGTATATATTCTTCTTTCTCTCTTTTCTCTTGTCGTTCATTTCTTCGAAGTGATCTTTGACGATTTCAATTTTTATACGGCATAAAAATTGATGTGGAATTTCTTTCACATTTCTCCGTTTGTTCGATGTTTGTTGATAATGATGATGAAAATGATTTGTTATGATATGTGGTATGACAATGATTGTGGGCTGATGTCTGTCTGAAATATTTTGGCTACATAATTTACATTTTTGAGCCAATTATGTTTATAATTATCTGCGTTTATCAGACGCCAATTAATTATGTATCTGTCGTATTTCATATTTGCATATTTATACTATACAAATTTTACAATGAGACAATTTCATACAATGTGCGTTTGTTTTGTTCAAATTTATTTTCAGACAAATCATCGTCGGGTTGGTGTCAGTTGGCATATTGGGAACAATCGCAACGAGTCGGTCGCTTATTTCCTGTAGAAAATCCGGCTGTGAATATATTCGCTGAACAAACGCGAGGCGATGGCTTATGTCTAACAACATTGGCAATGCAACGATTGTCAGCTACACCGGACGTTGTTCTGAAAGCCAGACAAAAAATTGGTCTAGGTAAATTTATTGTTTGCACGAAATGTGCCATTTCAAATCAACTAACCGTTTAATTACTAATTATCATTATTATTTTCGATTTTTTCTTCTTCTTTTTCTTCCTCTCACCTAAATTATCCGTGTCGTTGTTGCTCATCATAATTAACAGGGGTGACATTAAGTCGAGAGTCGGATGGTGTGTGGATATATAATCGTTCATCGGCACCAGTTTTTGTACATTCACCTACACTTAGTGATATTGATTCGAGATCTGTGCTCGTTTATCGGGTACCACCTGGCCATTGTCTTCGTGCTTTTGATCATGATAAGTAAGTTGACGATCGTTGATGATGAGACAAACCAAATTAAAATTAAATTGCTTTTTTTGCTTTTTCACTTTAGGGCTGCAAAGGAGTCTTATGCTTGGCCAACATCAATTGCTGGCAATGAAATTGGTCCAGTCGACAATTATAGTGTACGCATAAGTTTTGCCAAAGGCTGGGGTCCCAACTATTCTCGATTAGAAGTAATATCGTGCCCGTGTTGGTTAGAAGTATTGCTGAGCCCATGTCGGTGACACATTGTAAAACAATATCCTAGGAAAACTGTTTGCACTCTTTGAGAGTTATTTCACATCTTTGGCCCACCATCTCAGTTCAAACGAAAATGGAAATTGTTATATTTCGGCTTGACCGTAATCGCATGACCCAATTTTGTTTTTTTGTTTTTTAAATTGTGGTGGATGATAAATAAATAATTGCAGTTTATATAGAGAGACAAACAGAGGAAAAGAAAAATTAATAAGAAAATGTTCAGCGATATATTTATATGAGTAAGCGAAATTATATTATATATAAATGAGCCATTCAAAGAATTCTAAGCACACAAGCAATCAGTCGATTTGTTTTAAATGAGTGATGCCTACTACTGTATACACAAACAACGTGTTGATAAAAAAAATCATACCACGAAATTAATGAAAAATTGATAATAGAAAAAAACGAATATGTATGAACGAATTAAAAAGAATACATGGTTTTCTTATTAAAATGCCCGGAATACAATACTGCAAAAAATGGGAACTTTTTTTAGTAATTAGTATTTTACCGTTATTGTCCGTTTTTTTTTCATTTGTCATCACTACCCCTCGCCCACATACACCACACACCACACGGACATACTTTTAAGAACTCCTCGAAGAAGTTTTTTGAAGCTCTTTTGTCGATATGAACTTTGGATGAATAATAAATAGTCAATTTGATAATAACGAAATTTTTTAATGCGTACGACTGCAATCGGGTAGTTTGCAGTATCAGTTAAAAGAAATATGTTGTTCCATACAATGTATAACAGAAAAACGGAAAAAAAAATTTAAATAAAAAATCATTTTACTTCGATCGAACAGAATTTTGTTAACTGACGTGACTGTTGCTAAAAAATCAATTATATAAATCGATACTCAAAACCCAACAACAACAAAATAAAACAAGAAATCAAATTAATTGTATAACCGGTAAATTTGTTTAGATGAGCTTAAATGTACCAGTTTTATATTCATTTTGTTTTGTATAAATCTGAACGCCTAATAATGAATTAAAACAAGAAGAAAAGAGGAAAAAAACCTTAACGAAGATGAAAATAGGGGAAAACAATGAGGACTCTCAAACATTTAAACAAAACAAAATACTTAGAGAAACTATTGAACTGTGAAAGTGCCTATGAATTTTTCTTTTTATTTTATTCAATAAATGAAAAGAAAGAAAACTTTTAGAAAACAACAACACATAATTAAAAAGAAAAACAATGATGACACTATTTAAATGCTTTATTCCGAGAATGTCAATTGGATTAAATAGCGAATTGTTTTGAAAATGTGTATGAAAAAATGTCATTTGATTTTCTTCTCACCAGAAGTTTCTCATGCTTATAAGCATGTTTAAAATGTGTACAAAAAGAATTACATGATTAATTTTAGATTTATTATTGAGTTCAAGATGAGAGAAAAAGAAAATCAAAGAAGCAAACAAATATTTTTTAAAGAAAACTGAATTGAATTGAAAAAAATGAAATGATTAAAATCAAATGTTCCACAATAATAATGAAACAAAAGGCAAAACAGTGTATATTTAAGTATGAATTCGCATGAATAATCAAGTATTGTTTTTTATTTTCTCAAATGTTCGTTGGAATGTGTAAGAAAAGAGGAGGATTTCATGATAAAGCTCACGAATAATTTTAAATTTCGTTATGTGTTAATGGTTCATGTGGAAGCTTCCAACTTAGCAAGTTATAATTCAATCCTTTTTTCTTTCTTCTACTTTTTCGTTATTTTTTCTCGCTTCATCACATTTATCTTTTCAACATCATCAAACTAAAAAAAAGCATACTTCATTCATTATCGATAAAATGCAAAACGAAATAAAGCATAGACTTGATGCTGTAGTTTGTTTGGCTAAAAGCGCATTTATTTAGTCAAAAACAAAGAATTTATACGAAATGATGACACACATGCATCGTGTATGCATTCGTTGAATGGGCAATCGCATTGTGTTTGTGCCATTTCAAACCATTGTTAACCATTCGATATGCAATACCCGATGATATGATTTGTTACGTTCAAGAGATCGCTCAAGGCGCATTCTCACATTGACACAATATTTTTATTAAAATTGGCTTTACTCGTATTAAAGAAAAAGTATTGTGGTTTCAAAAAAGAAAAAGAAAACAGTGAACTCATCATCGCATATTCATTCATTTCGCCAGAGAAACTAACCATTGAAAAAAAATCGCTTTTTATTTTCTATTCATCGTACCTTTTTACAATAACACATAATCGCATACATTTCGCGCTTCAAATGACTCCTCTCTAAATATAAGCGACACAGGCCAGTTCAAGCATTTATTTTAATTGGTTATCTAGTTGATTTTCTTCTTCTTTTCCATCGATTAAGACACACAGAAAATATAGCAAACACTTTGCTGGAGCCCACATCGATCACTTGATTCTATATCGATTTTTACGCACTCATCAATGTTTTTCATCTCTTTCAACAGCATTCGAACTCACAAGATAAAAGAAAATTACAGAACAAAAGTGCAAAACAACTAAATAAATAACACTTTTAATTTATAATCGAATCATGCAGATGCAAATCAAAATACAAAAAATACTGTTTTGTTGTGCCATAATAAAAGTAACCGAAAATAATTACTTTTCTTTTGTAATAAAGTACGTAATTTATTGTCATTGTCTTTGTTTGGAATCTTCCACTTGTGTATGTTTCATTTATAGAAAAAAAAAGAAGGAAATAAGACAGTTGTCATTTGAAGTTCAACTGTTCGGAAAATGTCAATTTTAATGAACGAAATATTAAAACGAAAAGAAAAAACACACAGAGAGATGTAAAATTAGTAATTACAATTGATATTATACGCCAAAAGATTTTATCAGACATTTTTTTTTGCTCGACATAAATGACGTGATTTTAAGCAATGGTGTAATTAAATCGAAATCAACGAATTGTTGGCGTGAAAAACAAATCGTGCATACGGAATATAATTTATATGTAAATCGATCACAATTTCTTTTTCATTCCAAATCAAAACGAATTCAACCAATCGTGCGAAAAGGGTTACCTTTTCAAATTAGCATTCTCGTTTAAAATATGGTGGTATTTGCATTTTATTGCAATCTTTCCAGTGTAGTTTCCATTGGTGATGGAACCGAATTTCAGCGATATTTTGAAACCGAAAATGTGTGAAATATGCGAATTTCATCGAAATTAAGCCAATTTAATGATTCATTTTTCCGAATCACATTTTATAGCTTCAGTTCTTCAAATTTAATGCCATCTCACGTCATTTATTTGAAAGTATAAAAAAAAATCGAGTGAAATCGTTGGTTTCAAAACAATACAAGAAGAATGAATAAAAATGGGATTAAAATGGGACCATAAGTACACATTTTTGTTCATTTTAATAAATTAGTTGAGTCTTTATTTATTGTAAAAAAAAAACAAAATCAAGTAAGAAATGAATTAAAACTTTGCAAAACGAAAAAAATCACAAGTTGAACACTAAAAGTCAGCATTTGCGAGATTGAAGGCACAGCCTTTAACCTTGTATGATACGAAGTATTTGAAAACAAATTAAACAAAAAAAAAATATGAAAATTAATGAGGTAGAAAAGAGAGAAAGTGTAATGTTTTTTTAGGAATTTAAATTATACGAAAGAACGCCTTGTCATTTATAGTTTGTTAAAACAAAAATAAACAGAACAAAAGAAGTAAAAAAAAATTATTTAAATGAATTCTTATAATAATTAATAGAGCTAACTTTATAGAACCACAATATAGTAAAGAAAAAATTGAGGAGAGAAGAACCAACAATAATAATTAAAAAAAAAATGAAACGAAACATTTAAACTGACGACAACTACAAAAAAAATTAATCAAATAGCTTAAAGGGGCCTTCAAATATATAGATATTATGCGCTGAATAAGTTCGTCGACATCAAACATTTATATATTTTGTAAATACGAAAAATGAAAACGAAAAACAAAAAAGTTTTGAATAAAAATACATAATAAAAGATTACCTTAAATGTGACATTTTTTTTCCTTTCTGTCCATATTTTCTGTTTCAGCCAACAACATTTTAAAAAGAAAAAAAGGTATATGAGCTTTTATAAATTTATTAAGTTTTTTTTTCGTTTTTTTTCTCGACAAATTTTACAAATGGTTGGACATTTTTATACATCCATCAATATATTTTGTAAGAGTCTTAGAGGTGATGACGAACAAACGGCTCGTTTTCTCGGGCAATAGAAGCGTCGAAGGCAATTCGAAAGAGCTCTATCACATTCGCATAAGGTTGCTGAACAACTTCCCTTACCACCCCATTCTCCGTGTTCGATTGCTGTGTGAAATGAACAAAATGGAAAATTAACCATAAAAAATCAATTTTAAACAAAACTAATGCCTACCACATAGAGGACGACCACGATAACATTTCCACAAATATGGCACAAAATATTCCAAGAATTTTGGACAATTTGCGGCGTGATAACAATAATCATGCATTTTACAGCATCGATCAATTCCATCCAGTGCTTTGCCACTGCCAAGAAATCCACAATAACATCCATAGCCTTTGAAAATGAGCGGATCACAACCGGTTGCACATTTCACCATCGAATACAAATCGAGAACGTCACGCTTTTGTCGACCATCGTCATCTGATTCGTCTTTTGAGATATCATTTTGTGATGCAATACTGTGAATTGAATGCAACAACAACGGAACGAAACATAGAGGAAATTAAAATTTTGCCGTCCGTCAAGCGAAAATGAAAGTAAAGTGTTTCTTTTTTTGTGTCTATCGCACCAATCTGATACTTAACCATCTTTGAGCAATATAGTAAAAAATCGCGTTTACTCTATTGTACGGTATTTTATACGATTTTGTTATTAAAACCCACACACACAATTAATTCACATAAATTGTTATAAATTAATTTGTTGCTTTTCCTCGCGCGTAAAATATGCATGCCAAAACTAAATTACATGCTATTTACGACCGCTTTTTAGAAAGAAAGAAGAAAAACAAAAACAGTGAAATGTTTGTAAACTCTTTATCGTGAAGTTGTTACTTTTTCCAAAACCGGTGTGTATTTGTGTATTATGCACATTGCACTCACTTGTACACTGAGAGCAGAACATGTAGCGATCATCTCTATGCCTAGCGCACTCTCTCAATCAAGTGCGATCACAATGAATTTAATGCCCATATTTGTACTAGTAGTTGCAATACCAGCGACAAAAAACTTACAGCCAAGTGCATTGCAAATCACGGACTAGAGAGAAAACAATGGCGACAACGCAAAGTGGCGAAAAGCATGAAACATCGAAAACAAAAACTCCATATAGTTTGTAATCTACACGAGCGCTCGCGATCATCGTAAATAGTTGATAATTCGCGCGCGCACACCGACACACACACACACACACCTGGTTGTACTCTCCATCAAGAGGAAATTGAAAGTGGTATTTCTATTCAATGGCTATACATAGAATATGAACAACAACAACAAAGCGCAATTATTTCTGCAGCAGCTGCGTGGAGATGCTGACTTGATGCATACCATGCGCCACGAAAAAAAAAATATTTTGCAATGGCAATAAATCTTTACATTACTCTGATTTTTAGCGGCAAGCAGTTTTTTCTTTGTAATCTTTTTCATCTCTCTCACTCTTCGTTCTTTCCTTCTTTCTTTCTTCGACGCAAATCCTGTTAAACGAATGTCATGGTTTCATTGCACTCTCTCTCTAAAAAAACATAACATGTGATATTAATACACATTACTGGTTTTTTTTTCTATGCAAACACATGACAATGTATGAAAATTTTCCTTTTCAAGCCACACGTTCAAGTGCAAATTATTTTAATGATACAATATATATAAGTCATTGCCACGTTTGCCATTGAAATTACGATTCGATGAAATAACTTCATGCGATGCTGTTTAAACCAAATTTGTGGCTGTTCCGTTTAAATCAATTCACAAGCGTCGAAATGATGTAATAATATGTTTTTTTAATAAAAACCATACATTTTCTAAGTCAATATCATGGTGTGCAGTTGTTACATGATAATCATCAAGTCATAATGTCTATTGTTACACTTAATTATGAATTAATCTCGTAGAATGATCGAAATCGAATGAAAATGTTAATTGAGTGTGAACATTTCACGCTAAAATGATGTTAAGAGCATACCTTAATTTCCATTTCGTCGAATGACCAAAAGGATTATTGGCCCGAGCCACAAATACATCATCGTCACGATGTTTGAGACGACTTGTTGTAACTACCTAGGGGAAAAATCACAAAATAAAAGAATAGAAGTAATCGAAACAGTGGAAATATTAGCGATTTTAGTTTCTTTTGTTTCTCTAACATGTGTGTGGTCAAGCTATACCCGCGTGAAAAAAAAGTGACTGACTAACTAACTAGCTGAAATCAACTGAAAATTAATTTTGTTAACTAAATCCGTCTACCTAGTCGACTTTAGTCGTCTATTTTTTCTGTTTTTAAACAGAAGACTAATTTGGGACGTTAAATGGCTATAGCCAACTGTCATTGAAGTTGATTTGAGCTATATTTTTCTCTGCTGGAATCGACTGAAAAATCAACCTTTAATGACTTCAATCTTGGCTTAAACCAAAAACGTCCCAAGTTAGATAACTGACTAGTCAGTGAGTAATTTTTCACACGAGTAGTTTCTTAGATTCTAATGGTTTCCAAACATCTCCCATTTACTCATCCAAGAACCCAGACACACAAACTCTCTCTCCCTCTCTCTCTCTCTATTTCACACACACTTTGTTTCCTTCATCATCATTTGGATATGTCATAGTACATATATTACATACATTAATTGTGAATTGTGAATTAAATGCAAATGACGATAATGAAAACAGTCGAAATCAATAAGAAGAAAAAAACTAAATGGTTGTAACTACCCATTTTGATTTTGAGCCAAGCGTATTCGAAAAATTGCCAAGTTTTATCTTTTCGAATATCAATAGATCTAATAGTTCTTTCGAAATATTCAGCCTTACATCCCAAGTACCTTCGGGGCCGTCCAATTTGAATGGTTTTCGATGCGAATGTTGTTGCGATGGTTTCTTCCCGATTGGTAGATATGAGGGTGCTGGTATAAAAAGTTTAACTGGATTCTGAGTGGGTTGATGCATAGAAGATAGGATAATTGGTGGTGGTCGTGGTCGTGGTGAAACATGAAAGTTACCAGCCGGATTGTGTTCGACGAATGAAAATTGATGAATAGGTGGAGGTAATTTATCGTACGTGGGTGGTGAATAAGGTTTAAAGGTTGTCGTGGTCGTTGTTAGTAATGCCAATGGGTCGTAGTTACTTAAAATCGGTATGAATCTGTTGGGAAATAAATTCTCTTGTCTCAAACTGCTTAATTCAACCTGCATCGGTTTTCTGCAAGTATTTTTTTCTTCGTTACATTGAACAATTTAAAAACAAAAAAAAACACATTTTTGAAATCGAAAAATTTACCCATTCTCTTGTGGATTTTCGTGTTGATCGTTTATATTTCCAATCCATCCATGCAACCCAAAATCATCCCAAGACAGTTTATCATTTTTTGGCCACTCAACTTTGCTATAGTCTTGTTCTTTTGCCAATTCGTAGTTGCCAACGTGATCTTTCGAATGAATCTCTTTGATAAAACCATGACGGTAATCATTTGACACGTATTTCGTTTCCAATGGTGTTTGTTCGCCGCTATCTTCTATCGATGCCGACTCATCGCTGTCACTCAAATCGCTGGCCCTCTCTTCATTTAATCTATCCATAAATTTGAAAAAATTCTTTTCGGTTCGTACATTTTCTTCGACAATTTTTAAACTTTCCGCTTCATGGAGATCACTTTCGCTGGACATAAATTGCTTATAGTTGGTAAAAAATTTATCACCTAGTGCCAATTGTTTGGATGCAATGTCATCGGTGCTTGGAAATAGATGTGCGTATTTTGATGATTTTAAAATTTTCTGTATCGTTTGCAATGACGTGGTATTTGGAAATGAAATGTCCGAAAAATTACTGCGACGAAAGACTAATGTTCGATTTGAATCGCCACTTGATGGCAATACAAACACATACACCGGATCCGGATTGAAGACATTAAATGATTCATAAATGTATTTGTCAATTGATTCATTTTTTGTGTGCACACCCAAATTTAAAACGAATTTAATTTGATTCTTTAATTGGGCGATTGTATAGCGATGCGATCGATCGGCATAGTTACGATAATTTTTGGTTGCCACATTATCTTTGGTCGTTTTTAATCCGAATGTATAGTATAGACCGCGTGCCGTTGTAATATCACCAAAATCTCGTTGATCTACAAGGAAATGCCAATGTTCAGTTTTCATAATTAAACATTTATGCCATAAATAAAGTTTTTTTTTTATTTATTTATTGATTGTGGTTGGTATATTTTGATAACAATTTGGAATTTAAAACAAAAATTCAAATGGTTGGTCAGCGGAACGCCACTTTTACTTCGAAGAATTATTTCGTAATTGTTTGCTATTCAGAGTTCAATTAACCTTCGATGTTGGTATATACATATAATAAAGAAGAAAACGTGACTGCCAATATATGTATTGGCCGTGCGCGATTATTAATGACTCTTTCGAAGGTGCGCACATATAACAAAGAAGAAAGTTGGACGATTGAATTGATGAAGCGCGCGCGTCAAAGATTAAAACAGCAGTATCTTTCGTTTTCACCATCAGTGTCAAGTGCAATCGACACTTCAATTATACCATGAAATTGGAAGCGGAAAAAAATATCCAAAGTTGTTGTTTATATGCAAAAAAACGTCTATGTACATTATGAAGTGCACCCCGAAAATGAACAAAGCCACACCGAAAATTTCAATTTTTATCGATTTCTGTTGCTTTTTTTTTTTGTTGTCATTTATTTGAACTTACGTGAATCAGTATGCACAAAGAGTATCAAACAAATACACCAAATAAATAACAATTGAAAAGACCTTAAACGCATCAGTACATTTTGAATTTTGTGATTTATGGTCATTATTGTACGTGTCCACTTGAATTCGAATTTTACACAGAACAATTTTTGTTTAAATAATAGACAAATTAAAGTGACAAAGAGGAATCTACTTATCACACCGTTTGCCAAATTTATCGAAACATATTCACACTATTTTCTTATTTCAATTTTTGCAACGGCAATAAACAACCCAACAAATTCCGTTTTTTTTTCTTTATGCGCGAATAATTTCAATTATAAATGATGAAGAAAGAATTTTTTTAAAAGTAAGTCGTTGCCGAAGGAAAGTAAATAAAAAATTTTCAGTAAAAGCAGCTCTGCGATTAGCTTGTACATTCAACGAATGCCCAAAACAAACTGAATGCACATGCTTTTTGAACACATCGCGAATCGTATGCGTCAGATGTAAAACAGCATGTGTTACCATGTCTGTGCAATAGATAGCGAGTTTAATACAATTGACATGATTCGTTTGTTTTGTTCATATTGAATGGAATTGCATTGAGATTAACACAGTCAGGCCACGAGACGCGTTCATTATAATGCATATTTGTTACATTGAACATCTCGATAACAGAACATTAACATGCAAATTAAATGTATAACACGTTCATTTAACTCTTTTCTTTTCATAAATGAGAAATTGTTGTTCGGTCTTTTTTTCGCCATAAACTATCCGAAAACAATTTTGCACAGAAAAAGAAACAATGTAAATAGATAGAGAGGAAAATGACACTTATATTTACCACATATGTTCAAGTTAAGATGAATGCATGACAGACGATGTTATTATTTTAACCTTATTTTGTTTTTATTTGTGTGTTTGACTATACTTAAATGCCATAGATCTTAAAACTTAGAAATCATATCCATATCCTATGATCGAATTTTGTAATTGAGTTCAAGCAAAACATCATGAATTTTAGTTTAAATTAAAATTAAATGTTTTTTTTTTTATTTCAAATGATGATGGTCTCGCATATTTTCTTGTGTTTTATCTGCATTTATTGAAATTTTAAATATTAAGCCGATTGCTCTTTCGACCTCGTACCGATTTCGTGACGCTGCCGCTGCTACTGCTAGCCGCTGTCGGTTTTTCGCTATCTTTTTTCCATGTAACGGAAAATTCGGCAATCAATTGAAGTGCATCGGTAAGCATTTCTTTGGCTCGTGAACATGTAATGTCATCGTTAACATTATAAAAAATAGCGTTGTAACACATCAACATGACATATCGTTGAAATTCAATTGTTGAACGAATTTGGCCCGAATCGATGTTACGTTTTAACGATTGCAAATCCATTGGATTTAAAATGATCGTTTTATAATTGGGTGCTTGATCTTCGGTTATTGGTTTGGCAAATGTGGACGCACATCGATGCGATGCCAAACTATTGTACAACAATAGAATTGATTTTTTCCAACTGCGATATTCACGATCGTCACTGGATGCCGGTGAATTTGGCAACGAATCGATGACCGGCGTCGAAGAGTAGCGTCGCTTATTTTTCGCCGATGGTTCACCGCTCTCTTCATCAATGTATGGACTTTCGGAACGATCACGATCTTTTAATCGTAAACGAGAACTGATTGAGCCACCCGAATCTGGTTCATTTGGTGTTGTGTCTTCGTTGCGTTTTTCGCTTTGACTTTGATCTTTTTTGCGTCGTGAATAATCACGTTTTACACCAATTTTTTCTTCTTTCACCACTTCGATCGGCGAATCATCATCGGTATCGATGGCCGGTGTAATGGGTTTCGGTGGTTTTACTTCAATTTCCAATGTTTCCTTGGCATCTTCGAACAATTCATCGTCGGTTGACACTTTACGTTCAACTTTTGTTGGTGTTTCCGATGGTTTTTCCTTGCTTTCACCAACCGTACTACTTTCGCTCGCATCAATGGCAATCGATTCGTCTGATTTGTCATTCTTTTCTTCCGACAGATTTTCATCCATTTTCTCATCATCACTTTTGATTTCGATCAGATCATCAGCTTCAGCCTGCATAATATCGCTATCGATTTTATCGTCATCGTCATCATCTTTTAGATGCGAATCATCTTGCATACAATCATCTACATCCGGCATATCATCGTCCAAAATTTCAACAATATTTTCCGCAACGGTACTATCGACCGTTTGTTCGTCCACTTTTGGTTCTTGTTCAGGCGAATCAATACATTCGATTTGACTTGATTCAGCTTCGATGCATTCAACTTTTTCACTTTCCGTTGATTCATTTCGATCTGCATCCGTATCACATGCCAACTCTTCGGGTTCGTTTTGTTCAAATGTATCATCTTTGTTCAGCGTTAAATCAGTGATTTCATCTTCATTCGAAATAGTTTCGACATTTTCATCATTTTCAGCGTTTGTTTTTACCTCATTCAACGATTCATCAATCTGATTGTCAACATTTCCGGTATTGTCAGTGTTTTCCGAAATGGATTCAACCACATTATCATCATCGATGGTCTCGATTTTCGGTTGTTCCACATTTTCCGTTTCGGTTTTCTCTCCATGCAATTCAGTTTCGTCGGCATCAAGTTTTTCATCTTGTGAACTTTCACTGCTATTGTTATCTTTTAGTTCAGACAATTCTTCGATTTTTCGCTTTATATTTTCCATTGATTTTTCTTCGTTGCTATCCGATTCGAATGAATCGATTGGCATTGCAATTTCAATTTTTGCCGTCTTATCATCCATATCAGATTTCATTTCAAAATCGTTTGATTGTTGCGATTGTATTGATCCTAAAAAGTCATCTTGTGGTTCGGGTGACTTTTGATTGTCAATCAAATCGATTGTCGGCACATCAAACTTTTCTTCATTCGATGTTACTTGTTCGCTGTCATCTGGTACGGTTTGTTGTTCGATTTGCTGTTCGGCATCCGATTGATTTTCATCGGGCTGTTCGGTGGTCGATGAAATCTCTTTTGATATCGTCAATTGGGAACGTTGTTGCTTGGCTGATGTTTCTTGTTTCATGAGTTCGGACAATGGTGTGTCATTCGATAGATCGGAGTCATCATCATCTCTTGTTATATCAGTTGATGATTTTTCGACATTTTCAACGGTATTGTTTTTCGCCTGAATAGTTTTGAATGAGAATGATTCAATGGTTTTTTTTTTTGATTTAAATGTTCTTTGGTAGCAAAAATTCAAGGAAGAAAGAAAAACTGAAATGAAAAAATCTCTTACCTTTTTTAATTCATCGAATGGATCTTCAATTTTCGTACTAGTTACCGTTGAATCACACGCAGTTTCACTTACGTTGCTGGTCGGTTCCTCTTTGACTACGGTCGTCGTTTCGATGGTGTGCTGTTGTGTTGGTTGGCTTTGAAAGTTCTTCAAGTCCAAATTAACTTGATTTTCCAAATTTTCCGTTGTATTTGTATCGCCCACAACTTGAACATCATTGATTAGATCGTCTAATATGATGTCGTCCAATTCGCCCATGTCATCGGGTATGAGGCCATTAAAAACATCCATTAATTGTTGTTCATCATCTTTTATGGGCGATTCAGCACTGTTGAAATCCACATCGGCTGGTTCATTTTTTGTTTGCACCTCGCCAATATCACCAGCACTGCCTGCGGCTCGATCAATCGAAGCGGTCGCACTATGCGCCTCAATTTTTGCCAACGGTGGTATTTTCATCATACCGTCTTTTTGCTTATTTTCTAATAGCATTGATAATGTTGGAGCCGCTTGTGATGGACTCTGTGTAATGTTTCCTATTGCATGATCATTTGATGGTGGCCCAGTCAATGGTTGATTATGCATTGTGATTGGATACGGTGTTGTTATTGCAGTTGTTGACGATGATATTGTTTTAGTGCTCGCCTGTTGTTGCTGCAACTGTTGTTGTTGTTGGTGCTGGTGCTGTTGAGCGGCTGAAAACGAACTTGATAAATTGTTTACCGATCCGGTTAAAAGATTTGTTATTGTCGGTGCCGACACACGGGTTTGTTGATTTGGTAAATTATGTAACATTGATGATGATGGATTTGGTGCGGCCGATGGTGATTTCAGCAATGACGTCAACAACGGTGATGTTCCTTGTTTTGCATTTGGATCGTCTACTTCCATTTCTTCGGTTTTGATTTTTTGATTTAAATGTGTTAAAGATGGCGAATGAATCGGACTCTGATGGGCATTTGATCGATAATGTCGCTCCATTTCACGTTCCTAAACAAATTTCGACATACATACACACATTCAGTCAATAAATTACTATTGGTGAAATTCAAACTTACCTTTAACCATTGATGATATTTTTGCTTTTCTCGTTCGCGTTGCTTTTCTTCGGCTTCGATTTTTTGTAGCATTTCACGCAATTCATTATCATCATATGTATTGTTTGTTATGCCAGCAATTTCTCTTCGTAAAGTTTGGTATTCTTCACGCTCCTCTTGAATCAATTTATTTAATTCGGCGATACGTTGTTGCGTCAATTTGCGAACAATTAGTTCAATTGGCGTTTCAACAACGGTGGGACCGGTTTCTTTTTCATTTCGTTTTTTACGTTTCGTTGGTTCAACTTTATTGAGTAGCATTTCGTATTGGGCGGCACATGATTTTTGCGAAAACCAATCGGTCGGTCTGTTATTACCACAAAATAATTTTAATGACCGGCTAACCGACATCCAATTTTGATCTCCGCTACATGCTACTGCCGATGCCAAATACAATTGCTCACTTATCGACCAATCTTCGGCTGGTACCCGTTTCATTTGCAAGCGCTCTTGCACCGAAGCCATCGTTACGATTTGCGCGTACTCAATACTTCCACTGCAAAATAAACAATATCAGCATTTTGTGAGGTTAAGTTTTAATTTTTGCCCAGAAGATGCTTTACAATAAAATATAATCGCAGTTTTATTTTATTAGAAAATACCTATGTATTCAATCAAGTTTTTTTTTGTTATTTTCTCGAACAAATGGAAAAAAAAAAATTTCTTAAATACACTAATATCTACGGGAAATTCTATTTATTTTGGCAAAAGAAACCACAATAGAATATTGTTAGTGGCCGTCGCCTATCGAAATTACATGTAAACTGTTTTCAGCAAACTGTCAAAATTGAACGCCACTCTGGTCTTAAGCTATGGTTCACATTTGTAAATGGTCGTTTGCGGTAATATCACATATATTCATTCAGTTTTATATTTTTCTGCAAACCCTTTTATGTATTTGATAATTTTCACCTTAATAAATTTATTGTAAATTCAAATGAAAAATGTTTAAAAATTTAATTCCAATAGGAAAAAAAATATTAGAAGGCTACAGCAACTGTTGTACTAGATTGTGTATAAAGTTGTGTTCACAAGTGCAAACGAAACGAAGCGGTTCAAAAATAAGCTGTCAGTGAAGTATGTGTGTTATTCTTATTGAGAAGAGAATATTGAAGTAAAAAAAATAAATGCACAAGATTGGGAAATTTATTTATAAAGCCGCTTCAAAACGTTTTTGTGCAAATTAATTGAATATTTTGTAGAATATTTACAAGTTTTGCATATGCATCGAGCATGTAAATAATGTTTCACCCACTGTTTCACTGAACAAACATGTATTTATTTCGCATGTGATTAAGAATATATTCGTTTAAAAACAAATATCAATTGTAGAACTATCTTTTAAAATGCTTCCATCAAAAGATCAATTATTCAAAACAATAAATTGTCCATTTTACGAGGCTGATCCTGAATCATGTAATCGACCGTATTGTCATTTCAAGCATTCAAAATCGGGTATGTATTAAATTGTGTTCGATCATTGAATGTTCGCTAATGGAACAATGCATAATTTCCAAAAGAAATCACATTGTATTCAATGAATTTATCAATGAACGTTAGTTTTCTTTGGCCAACCTAACCTTTTTACAATCATACATCGACAGAGAATTCATCCGATTCAACAAAATCAGCTGTAAATCAACAAAATACTCAAAGTTCAAAACCCCCTATACCGGTCTACATTCCGACACCAAAGCATATTCTTGAAGGCAGAAAATCAAATGGTTCGACCAGCAACGAATGTTCAGTAAGCAAACGTCCAAAATTAGAGTATGTACCAAAAGCAATAACAAATCAAAATGAGCCAATTCCGACGTATATTCCATCGTCTGTGCCAAATCCAATGGCAAACGATGAATATGAACCAACTCCAATTTTTGGTAACGACAATGCTGGCACATCAAATGTCTTTGGGGGCAATGTTAATTCAAATGGTGATGACATAATCGGTTTATTAACGGAATTATCAAGCGAGCAAATTACAAACAATGAAAATCGTATCGAAAATATACCAAATAATGATACACCAAAAATTCACGATTCAACCGATTTGGCAACGAAAAAATCGAAAGAAAACAGTCACAAATCATCGTCGTCATCGTCATCATCGCGGCATCGACATCACAGCAGCAGCAGCAGTCACAAGTCGTCGCATTCAGAACGAAAAAGTAGCAGTAGTAGTTCAACACACAAATCATCACATCGATCATCGCGAAAATCAAAGCATTCGGATCGAGACAAGGATAGAGACAAAGATAAAAGTAAACATAGTAGTAAATCGTCAAAGGATAGTAGACACAAAAGTGAACATCGATCAAAATCATCATCGTCATCATCGTCGTCGCGACATCACTCAGACAAAAAGACTCACTCTAGCAATAATGGTAATTCAAATAAATCAAAAGACTGCATAAATAGTACGGTAGTTTATGAAACAGACAGCGAAGAAGATGATGTAGAGGCTCAATGTCGCATGATATTCGATGAATTTGATACATCGACAGTGGAAATTAAGCCAGATGATATGCCAAATAATGCATCGACCGAAGAAGAGGAAACTCCAACGAAAATTGAAGATGTCACAAAAAAGAAGCGTGTCGCACATGACAATGCTGACAAACAAAATAGATTATTAGCTCCATTCAAAAAACAGGCCGATCACGTGAAAAATGCACTACAGGTTTGATAAGAGTCTTTTTTTTTGAAAAAATGATCTGTTTTCAAGTTTATTTTTTTATCCGTCTTTTTATAGTCGGTGTTTATGCGTCAAGAAATTGTTCGAAAACAAAATGAATCGAAATTTGCGGAAGAACGGAAAGAAAAAGAAAAACGTGACTTACTTGCATCGCTTGAATCGGATAAACCAGAACCAAAAGTGTTGGCACCAAAACAAAATTTAACACCGCTCATACCACCGGCAGCATTGGTTGCGCCAAAATTCCCTCCGAAAATATTTTCACCGGTCAGCAATATGCTGGCCATCGAACGGGCCAAAGAGAAGGTAATGCAACTCAAGGCACAGAAAATTGCGCAACATCAACAATTTCTGCCAAAAACGATTGCGCAAACAACACCAAAAGGTACCGGCCGTGTTGCACATACGAACACCAATGCGATTGCAGCTCAGGTATACTTTCAAATGCTTCGGTTTGTTTTTTTATTGTAACGTGATTTGAATAATATTTTCAGAATACAAAACCAGCACCACCAGTATTGGAACCAACCTCAACAAAAATCTCCTACAATATTCGAATGCAATATTATAATTTAATGGTGAAACATTGTTTAACCATTTACGATGATTGCAACGATGCCTGGGAAAGGGTAGGTCATGCTCTCTCTCATTTTCAATTTTATATTATAAATTCATGTTGTATATATTCATATATATATGTCTCACACAGGCACAAACCGAAGAATTGGCTGTATTTCAGAAATGCAAAACGCCGGTCATTTACAAAAGCAGCGCATTGTTGACAATAAATAAATTGCGCAAAGAATCCTTGGGTATGATTTGTATAACTATTTAAATTGCATACTGAATATGCATTGTGTGCTAATTTATCGGATTTTTATCTTTCTCATTCAGATGCTGGCAATATTAATACAGAAAAGTAATTTTCATTTATCAATTTGTAAACACACACAAAAAAAAATAAATCAAACTAAATGTCTATCTCTTTCAACATTCTTTCAACAGGAACAAAGTGATATCACATGATGTAATATTGGCGGGAAAACACGGACAAAATACATCATGGAATTTAAATCGAAAACCGTAAATAAAAAAATATAAACATGTTTTAATGAAATTAAAATTAAATGTGATTCGATTCGGTTCGATATTGTGTGTATTAATGTGTGTATATTCCATTTTAAGTTCTTCCGATGGTTCAAACATTGTGGATAGTGTGGCCAGTTCAAAAGCATACGAAATGATTGCCGATTTGTGTATGACTGATGAACAATTAAAGGAAAATGGTTATCCACGTAGTGGTAATCGGCCGGGTTCTGCGGTCATTCATAAAAAACAAGGTGCAGCCCCAGCAAATCCAGACGATCGATACTGTCGTCGCTGTGGCAAAGTATTTAAATTGGATGAATATGACGAGGAATGCATTGATCGATGCAATTATCACCCAAAAAGTCCCGGCTTTCGACGAGGTAATTAATGGTGTATCGATGCAAATCGTTTAAAAATAATAGATAAAATGTACTCTGCATGTAAATTGGGTGACAATTAATTAAACATTTTCCGATTAAAAATTTAATGAGCGATTCGATTGCATGTCTACATGTGAATGTAATCACGACAATCATGTAATACCGAATACAAAAACCAAAGAGTGGATTGCAATGAAAAAAAAAACTCAATTGAAGGACCAGCTGTGAAAAAGAAAAAGAAGAAGAAGAGCGTGTGAAGAGTGTAAGAGAGCGAAAATCAACGCGAGCAATTCCCGATAAATGGGAAATACATAAAATAACCGTTATGTAAATATATACATGATGTGTAATTATATTCACAAGTAGTTCGATTATGTACACAAATTATGCTGATGCAAAAGCACACACACAATACATACAAACAAACTGCAATTAAATTGTGTATAATGATTTGTGTGTGATTTTTTTTCCTGTTCATTTATGTATTTATAGGTTTCGCTGACAATTCACATCGATGTTGTCAACAGCCGGCTGGTTCACCAGGTTGCATGTATGCAAATTACCACGTAACCGATTATCTTGATCTAAATAATTTAACTGGTTTTATTAAAACCATTGGCTGTGATGACGATTATGTGCCTACACGAAAGGATATTTTCGCATTGGATTGCGAAATGTGTTATACCACCGTTGGATTAGAATTGACACGTGTCACTGTTGTTGACATCAACCGTAAAATCGTTTACGATGCACTTGTCAAGCCTGACAATCGGATTATTGATTATAATACAACGTATGTACAACAACACAATTATCCTAGTTATACAAATGTATTAATTTTAATTTGTATGTATGCGATTACCTTCTTTACTTTGATGTGTTTTGAAAAAAATGATTAACCAATTTTAATTCCATATTTAATTGATATCATTTTCGTGTACAGTTATTCCGGGATATCGGAGAAAACACTGGAAAATGTGAACCGTACACTACGGGACGTTCAAGCCGTTCTACTCTCTATGTTCAATTCGAAAAGTATTTTGGTTGGCCACAGTTTGGAGAGTGATTTCAAGGCATTAAAATTGATTCACGATAAGGTCGTTGACACTTCAATACTTTTTCCACATAAAATGGGACCACCAAAGAAACGAGCTCTCAAAACATTGTGCATTGAGAATCTGAAACGAATCATACAGGAAGACGGTGAGTAAAGCGAAAAAAGGACACTTTCAAATTTAGAGGACATAGTCCGTGGTTTGAAGTTTCCTGAAACTTTTTTCAAGCAACTCCTTCCCACGAACTAGGTCCTCATTGAACGATTATTGAACGTTATTAAGAAACTAATAAGCGTTTATTTTTCTAATATGCAAATAGATGGTGGTCATAATAGTGCCGAAGACGCTGAAGTCTGCATTGATCTTATTAAGGTTGTTACACCGTTTTTATTTTACCTTTCAATATTATGTAAAAAAAACTTCTATATTTTTACAGTTTTATTTACGAAATCGCATTATATAAGCAGAACGAAATCCGTAAATGATTTGAACGGCAATATTCGACAGATGAAAAAAATGATGAATTTGCGTTGCTAAGCAGTTGAGCCTATAACTAAAACTCAGTGATTTCTATTTAAGCCCATTAATGTAATTAGCTATGAAAAATCGTGTGTATTTACCCCGCATTCGCCAACTAACATTTCCCATGCAGAAAAATAAACTGAAAAATAATTTAAAAATCGATATCTAATTTGAAATTGAATGTACAACCTAAACTAATTTATTGTTTTTTGTCACATTGTAAATAACTAAAAATGCATTTGGTTAATGAATAAAAATATTTTTTGATTAAAATCATGTGATTTTGAGCATGTAATTTATTGACATAAACGAGTTTTTAGCTCTCGATTTGATTTCATGAGCCCAAAGGTGTATTTTGTTGAATATCGATACTGGATTTGAGCACAATAGCACTGGATTTTCGCCATTGAAAAGGTAACGTGTTTGTTTGATTATGTTTTTTTGACCAGGTGTCGCGTTACAAATATGCCATTGTTTGGCATCGACAAGGGCGACAATGTATACGGTAAATACGTAGCAATTAAAAAAAAAAAAGGATGATGTGAGGACTATTTTTTAAGGCATCTGTTTGTATGTTGACATTTTAAAATGCCCATTTCCGTTGCGTAGCACACAATGCTAATTCAGGATAAAAACGTGCCTATATTGAAACAATTCTATTATTTTTGTTCACATTTTTACTGTTGATTGTGAAATTCTAAAGTATTCTGCCTTCCTCTTTGTGTATTTCAAAAGCATTCAATTGGTCGTTTAGCACGGCTCGTTAAATTATCCTAACATTGAATACCGAAAAAAAGCGTATGAAAACAGTGCAAAACGTTTCATTTATCTAGGTCTTTTGAGTAGTGAGAACAACAAAAGCACAATCCATGGAAATGGATTTCAATCGAGGTGAGTGCTTATTTATTTGTATTTAAAATCTAAAACATTTGAATATTAGGCAAAATGTGATCGTGTTCGGCAACATTAAACAATAAAAATTTATCTCTTTGCACCATTTGATGTTCATTGATAGCATGCACGTAACCGAACACATTTGCTGATAATTGCACTTCAAACAGCTCATGTATTTCTAAGCCATTACCATTAGCGTTTGAGTTTTCTTTCGACATGCCATTCTGCAGGGTTTCTTCTTCTTCTTCTTTTACGGCATCGAAATACACAAACACTCGAAATGATTTTGAATGTATGTATTTATGCAACAGCATGCGTATCGAATATATTTTCGGTTGAAAAAAAAAATACACGTCGCATTCATTTCTACACCGTACAAAGAGTGAAAAACACAATCCAAAAATTGAATTTTGTTTCGAAGCAAAAAAGAATTTAAGACGAAAGTCAGTTTTGTACTTTTCGTTTCTCCCGTTATTTCTTAGACGTGCTCTGGATTGCAACCGATTTCGAGTCGGTAATAATTAATATACATCCAGTTACGTTAAGAATATTTTATACCGTAGCGTAGCAAGTACACTTAAATGCATCTGCCAAAGAATTTTTTGGCTGTAAACCGTATCATCCACAATTTTTTTTGTTCAGCTTTGATTCGGTAGCATTTTAATGAGAGTGTTCCGTATAATATACGCTCCCTTTACCGCTTCCAGACGGTTGAATAAACGGTTTTTTATTTCTTGTTTGTTGAATGACAACAATCGTCTTTAGCAATCTGTGCCAACCATTGCATACATTTATCGGTATTGTTGTGCACACGCGCCTATCAAAATATAACCGTATACCCCCCTAAATGAAAGCTTCAATATGAAAATATTAAATCAAAGTAATTAATATTCCAATTAAAGGGAAAAACGATACGCGTGCCAGAGCAAGTGAGAAAGTGAGAGATGAAAAGAGAGAAAATAATGTTTTAAATATCAATGATAATAATCATCCATAAATTGGTATGACGCGTAAATGAGTGTGTGATATGTATTGTTTGTATGACTTGTGCAATTGTGGCAATATGTTGCCCCCAAAATAAAGATAGAACAATCTGCATTTCTCTCTCTCTCTCTCTCTCTCTCTCTCTCTCTCTCTCTCAATCAATAGAAAAAACATTGCGAAAGATTTCACATGAATGTTAAATAAAATGTTGAACGATGATGATGATGACATCGTACCAATCACATCGCAGCCAAATATGCAACTGTCAAATTGCCTCTGTGTGTGTGTGCCGGTTGATATTGTGATTTCTCGAAACCCAACAAATTGCTTACTTTGAATTGCAAATTCATTTTTGGGAAATTTATCAAACCAATAAATCTTCTTTTACCGAACACAATTCAAACCGAATGAAAATGAAATTGAAATGCAAATAGGTTTTTTCGGTTGGTGTGCACGCTTCTCGTTCACTCTCACTTTAAACCGTTTGTTGAAACACTTGTCAAAATTCCGATTAGAATTTCATTCGTACCATAATAAAGAAATTTGCATAATACCGTCCACTATATAGCCTGCATTGTACGGTATGATGGCGTCACCAATAAAATCCACGTTATTTGTATTAGCTGCTTAAATTTGATGGCAACATCCTGCCATTCATATTATTGCTTACATTTGCACTAAAATGGAAAAAGTCAAGTCTATTCGAAATTTTCCGGATATCATCAGAAGACGTTCATTTCTTCATCATTCATGACCGATTTGTTGTTATTAAGTCTATTCAAGCATATGATTAAGCGCTATGAACCCGCTTTTTTTGCATTTTATTAATACCACTTACGAAATACGATTAAAATGTCCGAGTTTCAATTTTCAAGCGATATTCATTCCGAAGCATGTCTTCAAATTTGGACGAAATGTTTAATAGTATAATCGAAGAGCATTTATTTTAATGGAAGTTTGAACAGAAATATCGTTTGCATCTTCCCTGCGTGATATGCTCGAAAGCCTCTTAAAAGGGATAATTGCGTTCCTAATATTTTTTAGTTTGCTCGTGTTTGCCAGATTGAATCTTGTCTCATTTCAATCATATAAACTTTTGTCCAAGATGTCTCTCCGTTTTCGAATTTGTGGGAAAAATGTGACTCGTAAAAAAATGTGTGCATGTATGCAATTAGTTTGCAGCCATTGTTTCAAATCAAGCAGCACGGTACATGCGATAATTCTGATGATCAAAAATTCTGCAACAATATAATTTCATCGGAAAATGTCTTTGCCCTTTTCTAATAATCTTATGGCCTTTGTAAACTCGAATTTTCACTGCTGTGCACAATATTTATATTGTTTATGCTGGTGTGTTGTCGGTGGCCGTTTTGGCATGTGCAATTTATTCAACAGCTCAGAGAAATCGAGAAAGGCAGAGAAAGAGACAAAGAGAGAGAGAGAGAGAGAGAGAGAGAGAGAGAGAGCGGGGTGCAAAAATGGGGCGAGAAAGCAAAGACAATGCATTTGACTTGTAGTGTGCATACACTGGTTCTCTCTGCTGACGACAATTATCCCATAAATTTAAAGTTATTTGAATATTTATGTTGTTGCTGCATAAAGAAAACGGAAATTAAATTTCACATGCACTTGTTGCGAACAAAGAGAATAAAACGAAGTCACTGCACTGTTGTGAAGGTGAAATATCTCGTTAGAGTTATTGTTTTTATCTGTGTTTTTTTTTTAATTTTTATTGAAGTTTTGCATCTAATAGATGCAATATATTTAGAAGTATTTGCAGGCGGAGAAAGAGAAAGAGATGGAAAACAAGAAGAAATCGCACGGTCAATAGTCATTCATAATGTCGGTAATCTTGCAAGCATGAATTGTGCAATACCCACTGGAGATGTACATGTTCGCTCATTTTCTTTATCATTTTTTCCTTTCCTTTCATTTTTTCTGTTCTTTTTATTATATTTTTGTTCAGCAGTTTCTTCCTTTTCCTAAGTTTTATTTATTTACTCATTTATTTAATACAATTTTGAATTGCCAGTGCAAAATTGCGTATTATTCAGATAAAAGAAATAATTTGCTCAAGTGAACACTTTACAAGAACAAAAAAAGAGCGCAGAATTTAAACACAGCGGGGGAGAGATGTACGCTTTGAAAGTGCGAACGAGGAAAAAAAACACACTGATTTCTCAAACCGGAATAGACCCCAGAGTAGTGTAGCAACGCGCAAAATGTACAATACTTTTTCAGTTTGAACTTTAAATATGACATTATTACCTAGGGGCTTTTATGTATATGAATATACGAAATATTCACATAATATTCACAATATACACGTCTTATTCATCATATATACGGCATAAATCTCTAGTGAATATTTCGTATTTTCTACTGTATGTTGTGAATATTCACAGTAAGCGACACAGGAACGAAGAAAGTCCGCACTAAAGAGAATGACAAAATATGTATATTTCATATGTACAGGAAATATTCACGAAATATTCACGAAATATTCATCAAATTTATGCAATTATACACATTTATTTGTGTATATTCTTTATATACATACAATATTCATTGAATATTCAGCATTATGTTTCAATATTTACTGAAATCGTAGTATTCATTTTAACATAAAAGCCCCTGGATTATTACAATAGATATTGCACTTGTTGTTGTCATTGTTACAACCCACGAACGAAACAATCCAGGCACACACGCATACACACATCAGGTTGAATCGCATCTTCGACATTCTTTTCTGTTTTCGCACAAAGCTCAATAGTTTCAATCATTGCGTAACGTGAGTTTATATTTTCATTTCAAGCGTTGAATTGAATATAAATGAATGTCATTGCTTTGATGATTTCTCACGTTTTCTCTAATTATTTACAACGTGCAATATTACAATGCTTACGTAAAATTAATCTGACACAAACACAACACAACTAAATGGCAAATCATCAATAATAATAAAATGTGAAACCAGCAAAATCTCCAGATCTGGTGAAAAGATGCGTTGCAGAATTATTCTTGACAATTCTTCAAGAATGCGACCAATTGAAATCGTAAGACAACGGTGTGAGTGCAAACTTTCAATAAGATTTGCATGAAAAAAAATGTATGTAATTGATTTCATTTTTTGAAGTTTTTCTTTCATCGCGCTTCGTCTGGTTTATTGAACCAGACACAGACTGCACGAAGCAACAAATGAACAGTTAAAACTCGAATTAGCTATGATTTTTCTTTTCTGTCCACCCCGAATTGTTGAACATTTTTCATTTTTATATCATTTGAACGAAAAAAAAATTAAGACGTACACCAAAACCGTGTGAATACGATTTGGCGTCTTGCTGTATATTATTTCATATAATTTTTTCGGCGTTTTGCGTATACAACAATGGCTAGTGTGGCTGTTATTTTGTTGTTTGTCATAGGGGAAAAGTTTTACGTTTGTTGTAAAAATTTGTTTTGGAATACTGATTAGTTGGTAGCCCATTTTTATCGTTAAGTGCACACGATATGTTCATATTTTGCGTAATGCGTATAAAGTTTATTGGGTTTCGTTGTGGGTGCCGTTAAGAAAGCGTTTTGTCGTTATCTCGTTCACTTTCGTTCTTATTTTCTTTCTCGCTGAGTTCTTCTTTTTTTTATCCATAATTTGTTCGTTGAATCTGTTTTGTGTGTATCTCACAACTTTTTGCATATCGTTAACGATTGCTTTTTTTGTATTTTTCATACACAATTTTTTTTTTCGAAAACTTTTATTTTGAAGATAGAATGCTTTCTGCATTCTAGAAAATGAAAATAATAAGGAGAGTGAGCGAGAGAAAAGAAATAAAAATTCAGTTGTTGTATTCGTTTTTGCATTTTTCTATTATTCGACCGCGTGCTTGAAAATTATATCATGGACAATGATAGTTAAAAACAGTGAATACATTGGGTTAAGATATTAGTTCGTGCTATTTTGTAACGCATAAAAATATAACCTTTTTTGTGCTAAATAGCAACCTATCGACAAATAGGACAATTTATTAGGAGGAGATATTTAGCAACAATTTTTTTTATTAAACCGAAGTAATAGCCTAGCTCAATCTAATGACCCCATTTCAACGTTAAAAGAAAATCGAACATTGTCAATTTTTGCTACTGGAACCATAGATTGTTTCATTTTTTCAACTAATTGTGTTTCCACCCAAGTCTGTAAGATGTAGTGCCAAAGGTCGTCGGAATTTCTATGGAGTTCTTCGCAATAGAAAAGTAGGAGCAATGTCAGTCGCCTGCATAAGGAGATTTTTCTCTATTTCAATTCAATTTTTATAATCATATTCAGATATTTTGGTGTCCGTGACCACATCTAAACAAATTACAACAAGCGAAATATTTTCAACACACAAACCATATTATAGTCTCCCTAAAATAGAATTTATATTGTATTAAGAGAAGCGTAATTTCAACGAAAGCATCAACGATATAAAATGCATTGTCCAACGCCTGTGCATCAATTTCAAATACGCAACTTTAAAACATTATGCACGCCGTACAGACGGTGGTAAAACAGAGAGAAAAGCCATACGCAAAACTATCACATAAATGCAAATTCATAGAAAAATGCATGTATCGGTAATCTTCAAACGGACAGAAGTACTTGAGCATTGCAAAAATGTTTGTTGCTATAATTTTGGGTATGCATACATATATGAAAGGAGAAAGGGTAAAAACAAGTTTGTTTGTTTGTTTGCTTGTTTGTTTGTATTGTGCATTCATGTTAGCAACTACTGATGTTGAATTGTGAATTGTTAAATGGTTAAAATGGTGTTAACCATTTACATAACCACCAAATAACGTATTTGCGGTTAAATTAACGGTTTACTTAGTTACATGTGGAAAAATACCGCAAATTCTCGAAAATATTATTGTTCAACAGAAACAAACAACCTAGCCGAACATACAAACGACGAAACACTTGCCGCAAGAGGAAGAAAAAAGAAGCATTGCACGCATTACAAACGTGATCAAAATAATGCTGCTCATCCATTCCTTTGTAGTTGCATTCGCTGCTCATCGAGACTTAATGAACTTATACTGCACTCAAATTCTATGTCTATTCTATCGTTGAATTGCAAAAATATCTCTCATGCATTTGCAAATGCGTGCACTTCACAAATGCATTCGCTACAATTATTATTACTTGACGCGGTATCACATATTCTGCATGGATGTTATGTATTTGGTTGTTTGTACTTTGTGTGTGCGAACATTTGCTCGAATGCAGTCCTTTTTTAGAGATTACGACGATTTGTTGTAGTTTGTTACACGTTCCAAACAAAACATTTGAGTTGCAAAAGTCCAACTGAAGTGAATGATTTTGCTGTGGAATTATTTTGTTTATTTTTATTTATTTTTCTTTTTTATGCACACATTGCACACAAAAGACACATAACAGTCATAGTTTATTCGATATTTTTTGTGAGTTATTTGTCAGCGATGCAATTCAACAAAAAATTCCAGTGGTATCTCTTTTCCTTTATTCCTTTGATGGTTCTTTAGAAGTATTTTTTTAGAAAACATCCCACAGGAATGCTTTTCTGTGGCATTTGTTTTGATCATTTTTTTCAGCTAAAAAAATAGGTTTGTTAAAACAGTAATAACACAAATTGAGACCCCAATATTTCGTAGTTCATACATTATTTTTGTGAACATTCAAAGACAAAATCATGAAATAATGATGTAAATTTAAGCTATCCTGTAATTTGGATGCTTTTATAAATGCTTTTTCCTTCAGTGAAAGATGGAGTCGATGACGTTTCGATTATCATTATCGTACTTCTGTTGATGTTTTTCTAGTGTATACATAATGTACACTTGTTTGGAATGATCTCCAGCGGAATTTTGAGTTTATTTGAAAAATTTTGTTCAGGAAATTTTTTCTTGTACACTCCCCGAACAAATGTGTACACTATGAAGAGACTAGGCTGGTCCACAAGTTTCATATGCAGGGGCAAAGAAATGAAAATTGTCAGATTGAGCTGAAATTTCGCCAGGTGTTCTAAATTCGAATTATAAGAAAACCTTCCAAATAAGTATGGTACACTTTAAAAATAAATGATGGACTTTTAAGTACATTTTGGGAACAATTGTTTAGAGGTAATCGCAAGTTTGAGATAAATTTCAAAAAAAAAAACTTTTGTACAGAAATGTACACGTTTTGCATACATATAAAAATATTTGTCATGTTTTGTTCGTCAAAATCATAAATCTAATCTGTTGAAAAAAGTACCGGAATTATTTATTTGTTTACACATTCAGATATAACAATATAGAACCGTTATCTACATATTTGCGAATTCAGCTGTACGAATATTTAAGTTTGCATGACGTAAGAAGCAAAAGAAGTAAATGAAAAACAATTTAAGTTATTAAAAATCCAAATCTCTTCCTTAAATCTTTTATGTGACTGTTTTATTGGGAGTAATCCATGCGCATGATCTATACGCATGATTTTGACTTATTCAAAATAATAAAAAGATATGTGATAAAAAGATATCGTTAATATATAAAAGAGATTGTGCATTTGTAGTCAGGCATAGATAGTTGCTATCTTTTGAGGTAAACTTACGGGCTTAAAGAAAATATTCTTGTATATCAAATTAAAGAAAAACTCCTTTTGTATTAAATTGTAAAGATGATGTTTTGTGTAAATTAAAAAAAAGTCGATTCAAATCATTCGTTTTGTAATTCATCAAAAAATTTATGTACTATTTTCAGGCGTTCCGACTTCGATTATCAATTCAACTAACCGCAATAATACTTGAAAATAAACATGAAACTGTGCTTGTTCATGATTATCGCCTTCATTGGCATTGGTATAAAATTTTCATTCTTCAAGATCATATCCAATTGGTTTCCAGAATATTTTTTTTTTCTTTTTCAATTTTATAGAATTGTCTGCAGCCAAATCCTATTATATTTCATCTCAAAAGGTAATATTCAATAATAAGCAATTGAAGATTTTTTAAAATTAGTCTACATATTTGTTCACTTCTAGGAAAATTGGTTCATAGCAATGGGTGCTTGCCACTTCAAAGGTTACAAATTGGCGAGCATTGAAACCCAATCGGATTTTGATAACCTTTGGTATAAGATTGGAAATAGTATGTTTGTTTTCTTGTGCTATTCAAAGATTAGCAGCAATTTCAATACTTTCAATAATTTACTCAAAACATTTTTTCGAATTGCTTACAATTTAATTAATCATTCCATTTAAATAAAACAGACTTGTTAATATTTTGCGATCCAATTTCAGGTGGTGAAAAATTTTGGACTTCTGGTACGAGACTTGGTCAAGCATATGCCGGATATTCCGATTCCAGTAAGACATTTTATTGGATGGAATCTGGTAGATATTTCAGCTACGCGAATTGGGCATATGGTCAGCCAGACAACCATAATGGAAATCAAGCTTGCGTTATTGTGGATGGAGCCAACGGATTAAAATTCGACGATGCTGGTTGCTTAGATAATGAATTCCGTTACATCTGTGAATACTAGAAATCGTAAATACACCGTTGGACATCACTTCTCAATACAAGCATGTTGCACTTAACTAAGAACACTGTGTCTTTGACTAGAGGGAAATTGACACCAAAGAAATGTAGAAAATAATATGTTTGTAAAAATTCGCTTTTTGTCCCACACCATTGTATTTTACCTTATAAATGACAATACACTTTGGATATTGAATACAACCACAGAAATCATTCATTGACCATTCATGTTATTATCATTTGTTAGAAAAGCCGGTGTTACCTGATAAGAAACAGAAGCAAATTTATTTCAAGAGCTAAAACAAGCTGATAGCGAACTATCACAGGCTCTCTCTCAATGGTCCCCCAAATTATCCATTATCCAACATCCATTCATCCATGGATAGATTTTGTTTTTAAAAGGACTGGATAAGTAATATCCATGGATGTTTTTTTAATGGATAAGCTACATCCACTATCCATCATAAATTTATTCATGAAGAAAAGAAAGAGAAAGAGAAATCCACTTGGATAGAGGAGAGTTATAGTGCATCCATGGATAGAATAGATGATAGTTTATCCATGGATGAGTTATATGTTAGTACATGGATTAGTTATTCGTATTCAAAAATACGAATGAATGGATAAACTCTACATCTCATTTGACATTTCATGTGAAGTATTCGATTAGTATATAGAAATACTGGATGATGGGTGAAACATCTGATTCATTTTGGATTCAACGAGTTTCAATTGTCAGTTAAAAACATATATTCTATTTTTTGTCTGCATTTTTATTTCAGTTCGAATTGTTGACATTTCTTATTCTGAAGTTTTATTAATTAAGTTAATTGGATGTTGGGTGGTTTATTCATTATTCCAGCGTCCAATCACATCAAGGAATGATTTTTGATGATGTTTTTATGATTCGTTGAACATTATATTTTTTGTATTAAGTTTTTGAACATTTTTAGAATCAAGATAAATAACGTTAGCTAAAAATATATCAATGGATACTGTATCCATGGATGTTGTACGCTGTACGCAAATATTTGTAAACACGATAACCTTCCCCCGAAACTTTATATAAAATCTAACTTTAGATTTTGGACGACTTTGGTTGATAGAGTTAAGTGTCATGACTGAAGTGATTCCTATGAGAAAGATTCCAATTTCATGTGAAGTATTCGACCATTTCTATATATATTGGATGATGGATGAAACATCAGATTTATTTTGTGTTATATCCAAAAGAAAAAACATTTAGTTTATTTTGTGTGTTTATTTTTATTTAAGTTTTAATCAATTTTGTTGACAATTTTTATTGTTATTCATTAAGTTAATTGGATGTTGGATGGTTTATTCATTAATCCAGTCCCATCAAGGAATGATTTTTGTTTTGTTTTTGTTCGACAATTTTCAATATTTTGTCAAACTCTCGAATGTTTTGAGTTCTTAGAGAGCACTCTCACTGGCTTCTCAGTGTCTCCGCTCGTTTGCATAACTTTCAATCTTGACTTTTAGTACCTAGAATTGGCTTAGCCGTCATATAAATACCTTCTTTCGAACTTATGATTTCAAATCACATGCCCCTCTGCCAAATCGACAATTTCCAATATTTTTTCAAACTCTCGAAGGTTTTGAGTTCTTAGAGAGCACTCTCACTGGCTTCTCAGTGTCTCCGCTCGTTTGCACAACTTTCAATCTTGACTTTTAGTACCTAGAATTGGCTTAACCTTCATATAAATACCTCCTTTCGAACTAATGATTTCAAATCACATGCCCCTCTGCCAAATCGACAATTTTCAATATTTTTCCAAACTCTCGAATGTTTTGAGTTCTTAGGGAGCACTCTTACTGGCTTCTCAGTGTCTCCACTCGTTTGCATAACTTTCAGTCTTGACTTTTAGTACGTGAAATTGGCTTGACCTTCATATAAATACCTCCTTTCGAACTAATGATTTCAAATCACATGCCCCTCTGCCAAATCGACAATTTTCAATATTTTTTCAAACTCTCCAGTCATTACGTTTCGCCTATGGATATAGCTGCTGCTATTCAGTAG